TGTCAACAAAAACGAAGAGACGGACTCCCTAAATTGCAGCACACATATGAAATGTATATAGTATGTGTGTACGTGTCTGGTGTTTTATTGGATAGCTTAGATACAATCTATTGAAGTAGTTGTATGATAGCTTGTTGGTAGATGACATGGACATTTTACCAACAAGACTAACATACAATCTATTGAAGATGCCCTTAGACTGCTCACAGTGAGGAGTAACATAGAGTAGCAACTTACCGATGTTACTAGTCTATGTTACTACCTCCATAGTGGGTAGTAACATATGAGTGGTATCATGAAAGAGTTCATTTATTAGGCTATAGACTCATTATGCCTTGAAATGTGTGATGTTATAGTAACTATCTAAGTTACCACAAATCCCTCTCTCTTTATTAATTAGCTGCCACATAAGCAATCTTGTATTGAAATGTGTGATGTTACTAGTTAAGTTACTCCCATTGTGACTAGTCTTAGGTACTCCCTCCGTCCGGGTGTACAAGTCATTCGCGTAGTTCTAGGTCATCGATTTGAGGAATTAAATATGTGTTATATGTCATGAAAAGTATACCACTAGATTTCCACACGGATGTAGTTTCTAAATATATATTTTTTGTCACATATAATACATATTTAGATAGTTAAATTATCGACCTAGAACTACGCGAATGACTTATACACCGGGACGGAGGTAGTAGTAACTTAACACATTCCTAGATAATTTTGCCTATGTGGCACGTATTTAATGATGAAAGAGGTGCTTGTAGTAACATAATATGTTGCCGTAACATAGCGCTTTCTGAGGCAACATGAGTCTGTGAGCTAATAAATGAAGCCATCTATGACACTACTACTATGTTACTTTGCAATATGGAGGTAGTAACTTAGACTAGTGTCATATGCATGACACTAGTATAAGTTACTCCCCACTATGACCAGCCATACTAGGTAAACGTCACATACATTGCTACGGAAATTTATAGCAATGAAATTATAAAAAATACCATATATGTGAATAATACCACACAACATTCTCAACATATGACAATATAAAACCTAGATGTAACTGGAGGGTGGATGCATGTTATATTGTCTTGTGACCTTCAAGTTTAACTATTTGTTGTTGAAAGATAATAAATAGTAAAAAATAATGAGGTGAAGAGCTTGCGTGTGTCTGATTATGTGGAGGGCTTGCATATGATGGAAAGTGAAAAATCGAATGATTACATGCACCCTTAATGATGTGGAAGACTTGCATGTGATGAAAAATGGTAAGTGAAAGTTGATTGGTCGCATGTCCTTCATGATGTGGTTAATTTGCATGTGCATTTAAATGGGATGGCTTAATTAGATATATAGGATATGTGTGTGAAAGGTAACTGCACCCCCTGGTCAAATTAGTGGCGGAGCTACCCAAAAATTGCAACACATTTCTCTCTCTCAAGGCTGGGCCGGCTATGGCCTATCTGGCCTTGCTGTAGCTCCAACAATGATCAAGACTATCAAGAAAAGGTACCATGAAAATTATAATAACAGATTTTCTCTGACTCAATTTACAATAGGAAAAATCTCTCATTGATAGTGCTGCGCAACATACGAGAGACCACAATAATCTCTCACCCATCCCATGGTGCTGGCAAGGTCAACATTTCAAGATGGTATGTTGGCTCAGTCTTTCAGACGTGCTCATAGGGGTAGGGTGTGCGTGTGTGCGTTCATAGGGGTGAGTGTATGCGCGCGTATATGAGCGCTTGTGTTTGTACTGTGTTCAAAAATAATAATTTTGAGAGCCCTAGTGTGAAATTGGCAAATTGATAGTCTTGTTTTTTCTTTTATTGCGCATGAAAACTCCTTTTAAGCAACATTATAGTAACCCTAAAACTGACAAGGAAAGTAAATAAAGTACATAAGTAGAATTTTAGAAATCAGAGCACTAACATTTAACATGCTTGGATGAACGGGTGACTTTCGTAATATGGCTATGGGTACGAGGAATGAAAGGCCTAGAGAGTGACAAGCTCATGCTTCACTATCACAGACGTCTGAGGAGGCGGCGAGACGCTCATGTCGTCAAGCTACGAGACAAACCTGTGAAGATGAAGATCACGAATTACAATTAGGAGAACTGGTGATGCCATGTGTCTGTGTCGCACACCGATTATGATTCTTTTCCTTTTTATGGACCAGTTCAACCAACGGCTAAAGGCCTAAAGCTCGCTTCTTGGAGAACGTGTATACCTCAATTTTAGGAGAGCTTCTTCTCAGTGCTCATTAGTGCTGCAGCGCACAAGAGCTCGCGCGCATGGGTCATTGCATTAAAAGGCAAAGCGGTTGCTCGATTGGCCACCCACTACACTCTTTTTTTGCAAGCCTTTTTTTTTCTGGGATTGCTCTGTTATTCAATGAAAAATATCCCACCGGTTTTCTAAATTTAAAAATTCATGAATATGAAAATTTTCAAAAATTTGAAAAACAATTACAGTTTGAAGAGAATGAATTGAAAAACGTTGACAGTTTTGAAAAAATCACAAATTCATTTTTTGTGAATTTGAAAAAGGTGATTCAAAAAAGTTTATGAAATTTGAAAAAAATTCTCATGAATATGAAAAAATGGTCACAAATTTGAAAAGAAATGTTAGAGAAGTTTAAATTTAAAATAATCAGAAAAAGAGGAAAAAGGCAGAAGAGTAAAAAAGAAAAAACAGGACGAAAGTTTCCATAACCAAAGTTGGCCCATAAGCTTCTGGAAGCTTCCTAAAACCGACAGGAGGGAGCTTCCGCTCATGTAAATGTCATAGATTGGGCAGCCCTTTTACAATCTAGTGAATCAAGAGGTGCGTGCGCTTTCTATCAATAACTTGGAAACCAATGGTAAATAGCATATTTCCACTTTTAGCGTTCCGTGGAACGGAATTCGACCACAGATCCACAGTATGGGCTAATCCCAACATGTTTTTCTAACAAGCTAGTTTTTTCTATTGGGGCAGATGTCTCACTCTAACGAGTAGGATTTTTTTTGTTCTTATTTTCACATTTTTCTTTTTATTTTTTCTAATTCTCTAGAAAACGCTCTATAACATATATGGGTGATCATATAATTTAATAAGTGTTCATGTACTTTAAAAATGTTCATCACCTATTTATAAAACGTTTTCAAAATATGGAACGTTTTTAAAATACAAATACAATTACAAAAAGTGTTCATATTTTCTGAAAATATACACTATGAACATTTTGAACAATACGGATGAAAATTTATTTTAATACATGATGAACCTTTGATATCACAATATTTTCTAAAAATACACAATGATTTTTATATACACAATAAATATGTTGTTCATACACGATGAACATTTTGTAAAAACATGAGTGAACATTGCCCAGCTCAGATGAGGAAGGGGCGATGATTGTAGTACGTCTTCGGCTTGCTCGAGTGATTGTAGACATCGCTAGGTGGTCTATGGACCTGAACATAAGTTCTATTACCTCTGGTGTTCTTGTATTGACATGATGGTTGATAAGTAGATCGGATTTTTTCAATATTTTTTTAAGAAAAATGTTCAACTTGTCTTACAAATTGTTCCGAAGATTAAGAAAAATATATTCGCATTTTCTAAAAAGAACATTGCATTTCAATTTTTTCACATGCTTAGAAAATTGTTCATGGCAATATTAAAATATTTGTGAAATATAAAAATGTGTTATTACAGTTTTGGAAAAATGTTTGTGGTATATAAATTTTTTTCATCATGTATTTATAAAACAATCAAACTTGTATTAAAAAAATATTCTATGTGTATTTTAATTTTTTTATTTTTTTTAATAATTTCAATATGTATTTGAAAAATAGAAAAATGAAAAACAATACATGAGACAATGAACAGGAAAAGTAAAAGAGAAACCAAAAATGAAAAACCTAAATAAACCCAAGAAAGAAAACCCTGACAAAATGTTATGAGATCACAAGAAACAAACAAATGCTACACACCTGCACCACTACTGGGCCACAGCCCACACCGCATCGCCAGAGGTGAGCGCCATAGCATTTGCGCAAAATGACCGCACGAGACATAGCATTTGCGCAAAATGACCGCACAAATTGAACAAACTGTCGGCCAGCTAGTTATTAGAAAGACATGTAACTTAATTCAAACTCAACAAAATTATAGGTACAATGCTTTGGATCATAGATACAAGAAATTAGAAAATAGCTCATATAAGTAAGAATTACAATGAAACCCTCTTGAGTCAAAATATGTTAAACAGAGGAAAAAAACATTAGCACATATAATCTTTACTCTATCCGAATATATGGCGGAGCTAAACTCAGCAACCCCATTAGTTTTGGAGGTCCGGTTTCATGGAGCCTCTTTTTTTTTGGAAAATCATGCATTAATAACTACTAGTAAATGGCACGTGCCATGCACGTGTAGAGATAGTTATTAACACACATACATGTGGGTAATTTTAAGTAGTATCATACTCCCTCCGTCCCAAAATATAAGAACGTTTTTAACAGTAGCATAGTGTCAACAACGTTCTTATATTCTGGGACAAAGGGAGTATTTCACAAAAGAAGTTAAGTAGTATCATGATTTGAACTAATTAATTATTAATTATAAAACTTTGCATGATTTACTAAATATATATGTGTAATACCGAATTTACACAATATAGAATACCATAAGAAAAAGGATACCAGGTTCGTCCTCAAATTTGTCTTAATAAAGTTTAAGTTTAACTTCAGTTCAAAACTGCGATACTTACTATGGCAGAGGAAATATTAGATTGAGCAACGGAGAGAGTATTGTTTGCAAGTTATTTATCGTTAGAAATAAAATAATAATTTAAACATTAATTCTGTCTGTTTTGCAGATCAGAGTTTTTTCACAGAATTATTGATAAAAACTAAGAAAACAAGGGTAATAAATATTTGTAAAATAAATTTATAAGAGAAAGTAAAAGCTATTTAAATGTACATATATTACATTTTCACCGTTTGCCACTTTTTTTAATCTGTTTTAGCTTGTGCGCCTTTACCCAGGCTACACCATCACATGCTTTCTCTCTCTCTCTCTCGTCATGATGCGTACTTGCTAGTTGCTACTGCTAGTACTTCTCGTGCCACTCTACTCTACACCTGCATGCATCACCGGAGTCTGCTGGAAATGGAAATTTCTGGATAGTGGCTTGGCTACAAAGAACGCAAGGAGAGTCACATGCACATCCTAGAAAGTACTACTACATCTGAGAGTGGCAGACTGGCAGCACAGAGAAATGGCCCAGCGAATCCCTGCAATGTAGGCCATTAGATTGACATATCCAGCGGTTCATATGCAGCCACGTATACCGGTAACACAAGCCATTTAATTTGAGCCGTCCAATTAGGAAGATCCAACGGTTCATATGACTTGCTACTCCTATACTATATAGGAGTATAGAAAACACACGCGTGCATGAGACTGGAGAATGAGGGGCATGCAACATCAAAATAGGTTACTTTGTCGGAAGTTATAAGATTTAATAATTTGAGACAATACGCATAATAAAATCCTCACTAGTGCAGTGTCAAAAATGCTCTTATATTGTGGGATGGAGGAGTACAATTTTGAAATTGTGCCCAGTATACCGGGCCAGAGGGAGAGCTTGAGAAAACACTGAGTCAGCGAAAACTCGGTGTACGAAGCAGACCATGGAGCCTTGGGGCTTCCTAACAGGTGGTGAAGCTCACGCACGAGGTGGCTGCACGACTGGGCCAGTTCCTTTCCGGAGACCTTTCCTTTCCATTCATTGTGAATTGAACTGAAGCGATTGCTTTTTACAAACGTGTACACTGTCTATCTTAATTTCTAAATGATGGCCGGTCACATGGACGTGTGAGCACGGGATTGACAGGGAAACTAACAGAATTCTACTACTACGAGGAGGCAACTGATAAAGTAAAAATATTGCTACTCACCCTACTATCATCAGATGGAGACACACAAACATAATCCACTGGACAAGGCAACTAACATAATTTCTATTACCACGAGGTTGCAACTAATAGAGTAAAAATATTGTTACTCACACGTACTATCATCACAGAGACACACACGCAGAATCCAGCTGTGCTTATTAACACCTCTAGCTACCTACGTACGTAGGTTGCTTCATTTCTAATCAACTAATCAACCAATATAACTCCACTGCCATGTTATACAGTACTACAGTACTTGTCACTCCAGCTAGGTAACTGCAATGCTAATTAATGCAGCCTCCAGATCTGCTTTGTTTCACCCAGCCTATAAAACCACACAATATGTACCTCCAGTTCTCACACAACACACACACACACAAAACACTAGCTGCAAGCACAAGAAGTAGGCAGCAATGGCGAAGCATCGCCTCCTCGCCGTGCTCCTCATCGGGATAGTTGCAGCCTCCTCTTTCAACCAAGCAGCTGCGGCTAGCCGAGGCCTTGTTGTCGTTGGGAAGTTCACAGAGCTAGAGCCAAAGCCGGAACCCAAACCAGAGCCAATGCCCAAACCTATGCCCCACCCAGAGTCAGAGCCCTGCAAACCTGAACCGATGCCCAAACCCGAACCAAAGCCTGGACAGAAGCCTGAACCAGAACCCAAGCCCAAGCCGATGCCAAAACCAAAGCCCAAGCCCTGCTCCAAATCGAAGCCTGAGCCGATGCCAAAACCGGAACCAAAGCCGGAGCCCAAGGCTAAACCTGAACCGAAACCGAAGCCGCCTCCAAAGTGCAAACCACTGGCAACGCACAATTGATGGGATACTTATATATGACACTTGATGGAGGAGAACCCGTACGGAGCCACACTATGCTATTTTTAGAATAAGTAATGCATTATTCCCTGTATTCAATTTCTTTCTATTGTTTCATGCACGCGTGATGAGTATTAGTACTCTGTAATTATTATTTGCTTGTTGGTATATGTTCATCTACTTTGTATATGACCTGACTCATAGTTCTTTTGAGTATCAATGCATGATTGTGTTCATTCGCATGAATGAACTATTTTGTCCAGTGGACTGCTGTCTATGTTGTTTTCTCTGTGGGGTACAGAATCTGTTTATTTTTTCTATGGGATTGTTTCATATTATTTGAGGAATTGGCAGCTTGTACTACCTATATATTAAGAAGGAGAAAAATAAATACAAAAGTTGCATTACATGGCTGGGTTTTTAGGTATCCCCCACCAAAAAAGAGGTAAAATACATCAATCAGGTTCAGGTTCCGGTCAGTTCTCGACTCCAAGAGCCAATGGATGGAGAGAGCTGGTTGAAGAATGTCCTGCTTGATGAGCTGAAGGATGGCAGACTTTTGTTAGGCCTTGTGATCGAAGATGCGTCGATTTCTTTCCTTCCAAATGTTCCAGGCAGTGTAGATTGCTGCAGTTTTAGCCTCTTTGCCTAGACTGGAGGCGAAGTCGTTCCACCAAAGAGCAATGGAGGTTGCATGCTAGGCTGGAGGAATAAGAGAGGGAATGCCCAGGTCACCGTTCACAAGAAACAAGATGACTCGGGCAAAGGGGCATTGGAGAATAAGGTGCAGAGGGGCTCGTCTTATTGGTCGCAGAGATTGCACTTCTCACTGTGACGAAAATCGTAGAGGTTGAACACTGAGTAATTTTTAAACACATGACAATTTTTAGAATGAACAGTAAATATTTTTTCACAGAAAATGAACATTTTGTAAAGACACAATGAACATTGCAAAATGTTCGACCAGTCTTAAACAATGTTCATGAGATTTTACAAATATATTTGCATTGTTCCGAAGAATGTTTGTCACAAATTATTTTCACATGTTTAAAAATATTCATGGCAATAATAAAAAAATGTTCATGAAATATTAAAAATTGTTCATACAGTTTTTGAAAAATGCCCGTGGTATATAAAAATGTTCAAACATGCATTCCAAAAATGTGCAAGGTGTATTTCAAAAATAGTTACCATTTATTTGAAAAGTTCAACGTGTATTTGAAAATTTGTTAACTTGCATTTGAAATTTTAATTAATTAAAATAAAATAAAATAAAAACACAAAAAATAACAGGAAAAGTATAAGTAAAAAACTGAAAATGAAAAACCTAAAGGAAAGAAATAGAGAAAAGACAGGAAAAAGGCAGACAATACCTTCCCAAAACTGTACGAAACTTACCAGCGGTACACAGCGAGAGCTATATCTCGCTTATAGTGAGATGGTATGAGCTCTCGCATGAAGCGTAGCGCTACTAACAACTGGGCCACTATCCGTTCGTGTTAGATTAGCAGGTCGCAACCTTATTAAGAAAAAGAGTTGTATATTCACTAGTTTTCCGTGTTTTTTTTGCTTTTGTTTTTGCTTGTTTTTTCAACAGCTTTTCTTCCATTCTTTCTTGGTATTACAGGTTTTTTTTATTTTCTTTGTTTTCTCGATTTTTTTCACTAGCTTCTTACTTTTTCTTTCTTTTTTCCTTTGGTTTTTTAATTTATTTTCTCATTTCTATATTAGTTTCCTTTTGTTTTCTTATTTCTTTTCCAGTTTTCCTATACACATTTTTGTATATATCTAATACATTTTTCTAATACACATTAAGTATTTTTTAATACAAGATTAATATTTACTGAATACATAGCAACATTTTTTCTATACATATTTAAGATTTTTTAAAATGCTTCATTAACATTTTCAAATATCAGATTAACTTTTTTTAATACATGGTCAAAAAATTCTATACACATTCTACATTTTTTCCAGATCCTTAATTAACATTTTGCAAATACAAGTTTAACATTTTTACAGTACATGGTCAACATCTTTTCTATACACATTTAAGAGTTTTTCAAATGCTTGATAAACATTTCAAATACAAGTTTAACATTTTTATAATACATGGTAACCATTTCTTATACACATTTAACATTTTTAAATTGCTTGACTAATTTTTTAAAGTACTTTTTTAACTTTTTTAAGTGCTTGGATTAACATTTTAAAAACCATGATCACCTTTTTAGACACACATTATATACTACATGAGAAACATTTTCTCTATGTACATTTAACATTTTTCAAATGTTAGGTTAACATTTTTTTGAAATATTTTATATAAAGTTTTTTTAATATATTTATTTATATTATTTTAGGTGTAAATGAAAGTAAAAATGAAAAGCAAATAAAGAAACTAAAAACGAGGCAGTGGCCTCCCCACGCACTGGGCTGGGCCATACGCTCGCGCGACTGCAAGACGCTTCAGCGAGTGGTTGCCCCACTAGAAGCGAGATATAGCCGCGCCCACGCTACGCTGTCTCATCCACTACTGGGCCATGGTCCACGCCGCATCGCTAGAGGTGAGTGCTGTGTGCGCCTTGTAGTAGGCGAGACATAGCATTTGCGGAAAATTACTGCACGATTGAACGACGAGTTATCTTTTTTTAGATGACCTATAACTTTATTCAAACTCGATAAAATTATAGGTAAAAGGCTTCGGATAATAGGTCCAAGAAATTAAAAACTAAGTCCTATAACTAAGAATTTGAAACTATTTTCTCAAAAATTTAAATTCATGATTTTACAAATTTGAAAAACATCATGACTTTTGAAAATGTTTAAAAGATTGATACCATGGAGATGACCGTTCTGAGAAATTTTACTATTTATAAAAGTCATGAACGTTTTCCAAATTTTTAAAATTTTCGAATATTTTAAAATTCATTTATTTTTCAAAATTTTATGTTTTTAAAATTCATGAACATATTATTAAATTTATGAAGATTGTTCAAAAGCAAAAATATTTAAAATTACTATATATTTTTTAGTTAAAAAAACAAATTGTACAATTTTTAAAATCCAGGAGTTTTTTTTTCAATTCATGAACATTTGCATGAGTTAATCTATAAAAAAAAAATATGAAATCGGTTTTTAGCTAGCGAGCGGGAGAAGTGGCAATGGGGAGCGAGTGCGCTAATGGGTCGTAGTGTGTCGTATGTTCCACGTGAGCGTACAGTACAAATGCGGATGCACATACATACGGACATACAATCATCTCTATGAACGATCGCACACCCCCTATCCCTATGAGCCCCTTCGAATGACTGTGCTGACATATCATTTTGAGATTGAGAAAGCCACCACATACGCCTTCGTAGTTGACGGGAACATCTCCTCCCACTGAATGAGCATCGGAAGCCTGGAATAATCTAGAAAAATGAGCAGACCAATGTCAAGTCTAGGACTTGAATCTTGGTAGGCTGGTTTCACTACGAAGAACCTAACCATCTAAGCTAGGCACGGTTCACAGGAGTGCCTGAAGATAGGAGCTCCCCGTGAAATGATCAAAGGCCTTGAGATGGTTTCCTGGGCGGCGTTCCATCGAGCTTCACTCTTTCCTTTGAAAGATAAAAACACCGACAAGATGGTCAAGTACTTGGTGTGCTAGTTCCAAGCATGTGATGTGTATTATCTAGAAGTACAAAACTACCATTCTCTCTAGTTGTTGAAATATTCCTAAATCTCTTAGGTTTCTTTTAGAAAAAAGTATATGCTTCTACTAGAAATTAAAAAGGAATATGTCGATATCAAGATGATATCAATTACACCCCGGCCTCTGCAAAAACACGGTGTCAAAGTTATTCAAGACATCGAAGCTGCGACAACTTAATTATTTTTTAAACAAAATAAAAAAAGAACGATAATACACGGCGAGCAGCAACATCGAGCGAGTGAGAGAAGCGGACGAGGGGTTGTAGCCCTTATATCATATCATGCCTATCCACTAAACTCCTTTGATACCAGCAAGAATTTTGTTGTTACTTTCTCTTCAAATGCGCCAACCGACAATCTATCGATCGAGAATAGGAGAATGCTTCTCTTGATTTTTCCTTCTATATTTGTACAGTGTACAACTCTCTGTTTATGAGTATTGGGGTTTTTCCTCTCTTAGTGAATGTAACGCAAGAAAGAAGGCAGCGCTGCTGCATTTTGCTTAAATTCACTAGATATGTGGGTTGGGTGGGTCAATGCTAGGTCTAACCGCCAAGTTATTTAACTTCACGCATCTTACCTATCCATATTTCTACGTTGATGAGGTACGTAGAAAATAGTAAAAAGGAGATGAAAGGTTGACACATGGTTAGCAAAAGAAAAGCGTGAGCAGTCCAACCATGCATGCTAATCAACGGGAACATACGCCGGGCTGGAACCCATGCCCTACTGCTACAATGAAAATAATTAGTGAGGGCCGGAGTGAAGTGTAGAAAAGGCCATGGTGCATGCATGCTGTGGGAAACGGATGGGGGGTCATTTTCGTGTGCACCACTGGTCCTTGTGACAAGAGGATACCCGTAGCTAGAGCTGGCCCTCTCTACTTACGTTAAACCACTACTATCTTTATCATATGTATGTTTGTATGCATGTCGGTCTGTACCTACCGGCAACTGCTCAGCACGCCACACAACCATACAATACAGATCACATCTATATATACATCTTAAGTATATATGGGTGCCCTACATAGACGTGTGGTCTGGTGTGAGCAAGGGACAAGGCAACTAACAGCATTTTCTGTTTGCAGCAGGGTGCAACTAATAGAGTTGAAATACTATTACTGGATATGTTGTTGTGCCGATCCACACACCCACCGACGGCACTGGTTTACAGGGATTGTGGCACACGCGTCCGGGTCTGATTGGCTCCTCCACCCTATAAAACCACACCGTATGTGTCTCCACTTCTCCACACAGAGCACACCCATCCACCATCCATCCATCCAGGCTAGAAGCAGCGGC